TTTTTTTGGGAAAACAACTACTATTTGCTTTTATTGCAGATACTTTCTACGAGTTACCATTTCTCGTCGTTTGACTGACATAATTAAGGAAATGGAAATAGTGGTTCACACACTGTCGCACTATCCTGAAGTAAACTCTCCCATCAAAATGGAAGTTGGAATCGAAGATTGTTTGCACATTGAGTTTGAGTACAACAAATCCAAGTCAGTAGTGTTTCTGTCTTTTATAAAGAAAGTGAAAATTAATCATATGATCTTTTTAGGTATCACTTGAAGGACGTCATTGTGGGCAAAATTTACTTTCTGTTGGTTCGAATCAAAATTAAGCACATGGAAATTGCAATTATCAAGAAAGAGACAACAGGTATCGGTCAGAACACGTATAACGACAATGAGAACATTGCCAAATACGAAATCATGGACGGCGCTCCAGTTCGTGGTGAATCGATACCCATTAGACTCTTCCTTGCTGGCTATGACCTCACGCCAACGATGAAAGACATCAACAAGAAGTTCTCGGTGCGCTACTATCTAAATCTAGTGCTGGTCGACGAAGAGGAACGTCGTTACTTTAAGCAACAGGAAATTATACTCTGGCGCAAAGGTGATCGCATTCGCCGACCAATACAGCCACATGCTCTGATGGAGATCAACCAAGAAGCCGAGTAGCCAGGCCTAAAACAGCGCACCAGCAGCAGTACCGCTCTGCCTCCACTGTTAAGAAGAAGAGATAATTCATTCCTGATGAGTTTACACCTAAACGTTCTTTATATTTATTACTACTGAAAATTTTCTGTATTTTATTATTTTATCTTTATAATTATATTTGCAATACATTCAATTAGAGTTTTCTATGATTAACATGTTCTTTGACACGTGCTGGGTGCATTGTTGCATGGTGAAAATCACTCTGGGGAGAATGTCATTTTTGGTCAGCCCTGTTGGCCACCTTTGCGCAAGTAAACAATCGTCACTCAAACGGCTGACCAGTGGAAGAGCGCACTTGTATGCGGTGAAAACAATGCTAAGAACAAGTAGAAAAAGTCGACCACCCCAGCCTCCAACCGATCCAAAACTTCCATCTGTTTCAACGATTTCAGCTGTCACAGTAGCTCCGGCTCAAGGAACAAAGAGAAAATCAATTTTCAGTGAAAGCTTGGATGATTTGTGTGAAGTTGACGAGAGCATCAAGAAGAAGCCATTTTCTTCATTTTCTAAAGTTCCTACCAACTTTGATGGGTCGAAATACTCGTTTAACTTTTCTGTGGAACCAAATCGTTCAACTGCCACCATGTCAACTGATTACGATTTATTTGACCTAGACGATATTACCTTAACTTCAACAGAAAGGTCAAAACAAGAAAATGGAAGACCAATTGAAAATGGAAAGCTTCCAGAAAATGGAGTGACAAAAGCACCTGAAAGGAACAAGCATGAAGATTTTGATGATTTGATGAATGACAGCTTTGATGATATGATGTGTGATTTTCAAAATTCACCTGATGCAGTGCTGAAACCAGAGGGATTTCGGACAGCTACCGGAACACTAATTGACATTTCCGATGAGCGACGGGAACGTGCAATGCAACGCTTTCAAGACTTGGCGGATCTTTCTAAAGAAGTCGCCGGCTTCATTTGGCACCATAGAAGGCAATTGCTCTGATGCAATTGTGTCTGAAACTTTTGCCTAGTCTGACTTTCCCGTTTTTAAATTAACAATATAGCCTCACTAGGAAAAGTCTATTTTCTGTTTCAAATCTCTTATACAACTTGGTTGGCAAAAGTCACTTGCCAGATTGCTTTATATTATATTTACGAATCCCGCCATGTAGAGGTGAATAAAACTGGTGATGGTGCTCCGATTTGGCGCCAGTTCACTGCTCTCCACTTCTGTCACCTGTTTGTTGCGTCACTGTGTTGTATCCATTCGAGCAATTGGGCTGCCGTTCTGATAGTACGGGTCGGCGATGGGGATACTCTGTAGGGAAGAGTAGTGCACAGT